ATTGAGAGATTTTTGCTATAGGGCCTATGTGCTTGCCAGAGAGACAGAGAAAAAGAAATCATCACCACAGGGTGTTGGCCACGCCCCAGTCCCTTCTTCTTCATTCTACTCTCAGAATTTTGGGCATGCACGCAACACACTCCTGGTGTTAGTTACAAGCCACCAGATCCAGGACTGGAATTGCTGTCAACCATGTGGGAGTCCAGTGCCTGTGCTACCTGCTGGCCCAGGGGAAGATACTAGAATTTAATGTAATAAAGTTTGTTCTAATGTACCAACTCGTGTCACTATGTAGTGGTACACTAAATAGATTTTTTAGTGGGATTATAAGAGTAACTTAGTATCAATTTGATTTATTCATTTATGAGGTGCTTACTTGGCTCCTAAGTGCCAGAGATAAGTTGAGGAGCAAAATCAGAACTCTAGCTATCACGGGATGATTGTCGCATAACTGTAAATTTAGTAGAAATCATTGTATACTTGAAACTAGTGAATTTTACACTTGATACTAGCAAATTTTATGGTAGATAAATCATACCTTCCTGAAGTAGTTGGTTTAAAGAAAATAACCCACCAGTGAACAAACTTTAGGAAGCTAATATGCTGTTGGCAGAAACAGATATTAAATAGTCACATAAATGAATATGTGATAAAACTTGTGATGAATGTTTTAGAGACAAAAATGATATATCCTGGGGAGAAATTAATAGGAACCTTTAGACTGAGAGGGGTAGAGAAAGCCCCTCCCAAGGATGAGAACTAATCACGGGAAGGGGAAGAAGGAAGCACAGGGGAGAGTGTTTCAGAGATGAACCAGCATATATATATATAAAAGCTTTATTTTAGGTTAAGGAAAATGTAATTGACAAGATAATTTAATGACATTTACTGAATTTCTGCTGGAAAAGGAAGTATCTCAAGTTTTTTAATGTCAGATTATACTAGCTTTTAGTATATATTTTGCTTGTATAAAGATTCTTTTACTTAGTTTCTAAACAATTTTCAGAGACTGTCAAATTTCTGTCATTGCCCTTTTCAGGAATAGAAGAATATTGAAAGCTCAGTTTACCTATTCTGAAAAATATTTCTCTACTTTCACTCTGTGTGTCAAGCTGCTATTCCATGTAATTGGAAAGGAAAAGTAAAAATAAAACTGAAAATTACTTGTTGGTCGAACAGTAGCGTAATATAGTAGTGGAATGGGGAGGAGAGGTAGAGGAGGTACTATTTTTTTTTTTTTTTTTTTTTTTTTGACTGTAGAACATGTATGCTTTCCAGATGGGGGGAGGGAGGGAGGAGAGTGAGAGAGAGAGAAATCACCCTCCAGAGAGGTTGACTGTGCCACAGTCCCTTCTCCCCATTCTGCTCTCAGGATTTTGGACACTCATGCACACGTGCCCAGCGTGCTCTTCTGGTCACTGGATTGGGACTGTAACCATGTAGTCATTTTCACTACTGAAATTGTAAACACAGTTTTCAGTGTGGGCCTTAGTTGTGATTTTCAGTCTGCTGGGTCCAGGGCTTGAACTGAACAGTTGGCCATGCGGGATCCAGTGCCTTAACTTCCACGCCAGCTGCTGACCCACTTGCCCTCTTCTAAGTAGTACCTGATACCAAACTAGGAACAAGTGACCTCCCAATATATAAATGTAAAACTGTGGCCAGTTTGAATGATAGAATGTGAGATATTCTGTGGTACTATACATTGTGAGAATTTACGTGCAGAGAGATAGTATAATGATTTAAGAGTAAGGACTTTGTGAGTCAATAGTCTCTGGGTTCAGATTCTACCTCTGACCCTTACTAGCTGGGTGGACTGTGGGTAAATTGGTAAACTCCATGTGAAGTCTAATTAAATAAGAGGAACAATAAAAATACTTTCTTAATACATGTAAAGTACATAGAAGTGCTTGTCACATAGTAACTGCTCACTTAATGTGAGCTACCATTTTTTTCATCATTGATGTTCTTCAGGAGAGAGAAGCTTATCATCTGAAACATTTATGCCTTTGTTTTTTTAGAAGTGAGAATGAATTTTAGTGATGAATTTGTAGATTCCCACCTATTTTTGTTTTAGGTAAAGATAGCTTTTCGGGTTGTCTAGTTAGAGATTGTAGGCAGTAGAGAATATGAAGTAACAGGTTCTTGGATTCATTGACAAGGCACCTTAAACATGATGTAGCCATTTTAGTAATATATAGAATTTGCCTCTTTTGCCTCTGACAGATTTTTATAATGAGTCTTAATTAATTGTATATCAAGCAAATCCTTTCCTTTAAGCCATGAGAATGTCAGCCTGACATTTAAAAAAGTTTATTGTTTTTCTATTTATTTGTTGTAAGATACACAAACAGACACAGGGAAACCCAACAGGGTCTTATGCTGTGATCTCCCCACTCCTTGTCTTCTAGACAGTCGGGATCATGGGTGACCCTGCAAGTATGCCCAGTGTGTTCGGTCAACCCAGGAACACAACCTTGTCCTTAACCATGTGGCTCCAGTATTGTGCAGCTGTGCCCTGCTGTCTGTGCTACTGCACCTGGGCTGGTATCAACCTGATGACTTATGTAAGATTGTTAAATATCTTGTCCCTGAAATTAACTTCTCTAAAGGATCTTTAATATAACTTTGAAGTTGTTTTTCAGATGAATAGGTAGATGAGGTACATGTTTTAACAGGTATGTCAGGATGTTTTGGAAGTAATCATCTACCAAAAGGTTTGTTTCTTGAAACTTCGTTTCCTCTCCCCCCCCCCCCTTTTTTTTTTTTTAATTTCTAAAGGTCATGCGTGCTAGTCGGAGAGAGAGAGAAAGAGAGAGAGACAGAGGAAGAATGCACCCCCAATAGTGGGTTGTGGTTACACTATGATCTCTTTTCCTCTGTTGCTCCATCCCATCAGGATTTGGGGCATGCATGCACATATGCACAGCTTGTCTTTCAAGCCTCAGGGCCAGGATTCAAATCATGATTGGCCGTGGGGGAATCTGTTTTCCCTAACTTCTAGGCCACAGATTTGGGCTCCCTCTTAGTTTTTAATATTTCTCCTGGAGGTGTATGTTAGTGAGACATTGAAAATCCTTCTGAATGATACCACTCTTGTTTAACCTGAAGCTTCGTGGGCAGTGTAGATAACTGTGTTTATAACTGCGTTTATCAAAAGATTTGTTACTAGATTATAGGAATTCACAAAGTATGTTGAGACCATTAGAATTCACAGAGGATTATGGGACCAAATAATAAACAGATTGTCAAATAAGTTTTTCCTTCTCTTCCCAGCCTGTTTGCTGGTCTTTAAGTATTGTGCAAAGAATAATACAGGAAAGTAGAGTACTGTCTACTACATATATAATTTCAGTTAAACTTAAGAGCTGTCTAGGAATTATTTTTATTTTGTATAAGGACGCTGAGACGTGGAAGTTGTTTGGGGACACTATCTACTGAATGGTGCAGTTGGTATTTGAATCTAAGTCTTTCTGGTTCTGCTCTTTCTTTCTGCTCTTTTCCAACATGTGTTATTGCCTCTCCAAATCAGAAAGTTCAGACAACCACTGTGTTGTAGACAAAGAAAAGAAGAAAATACGTAAGTCTGTTTCCAAGTTTAAGTTTTCTGTTCTTTGATCATGAAGTGCTTCCATGTTTACTTCTGAGTATATGAAAAAGTGAAGAAGGAATGGGGTGGTGGGGTGCAGATGAAGGGTCCATGGGGTAAAATGACACCATTTGGATGGTGTAA